CGCTTCATGCCTCTGCGCTATCCGATGTCGAGCGTCGCCGCTCCAACTTTTAATCTGTTCCCTTTTTTCGCTTCCGTGGACGAGCGACGAGTAACGTGCGAGGCGATCTCGTGTATTTACCTCGTCTAGTCTTCAAAGCGGTTTTTAGAATTATTTATCAGCTGGTAAAATGGTGGAACAGAGAGGATCGTATTTTATGTGTGTGGTAAAAACAGAATCTTCTTTTACCTTGTTATGAACCTGCTCCGTCCAATTTTAACGAGTCTCGTGTGTCGTCACACGAGATAAATACTTCAACCACGAAACTACGAAGATTGTAAGAACGTTAACTCAACCGAAGCAAAGGTCTTGTCGTTTTTATTTAATTCTTCAGAAATTGCAACTGTTTTCGTTTAGACCAAAGAGTAACATCTCGCGCGTCTTCGAAAGATTTAACGAATAAGCCTGGCTACTGTCTCCTACAGCGGATCAATGATCATTTTTATTCGTATTCGTTTACAGAGTAACTTTAATTGAACTCGATCTTACTTAGAGTAATTTCATTTAAACGATATTTTAATGTAAATATTTTGTAAAGAGGTTACCGCTTACTGTCCAAAGGAGTTATTTTACCAAAGTGCAAAAGGAGGATGGAACGACGGCGCAGAGACGCATTAGCCATATTCCGAGGTTGCATGGCGGAACGCCCCTTTCATGCCATCCCCTCCTACCTTTGAATATCACAGGAAAGATAGAATGTCCCGTAGAATTCACCGACAAAGATTCGGAATTACGTTCTGGGCGTAAATTAGTTAACGAATTACAACGCTTAATCTTCGCTTCTTTATGAACTGTACCTCTTCTCATCGCTGAATCGTGTATCATCTTGCGGGGTGTTCAAGTTCGATTAAATGACAATTAATGAACTTTGAAAGTAAAAATGATACTTCTTCGGTATTATCCTTTGTTCGAACATTTACTGGAAAATTAATTTAGTCTGAAAAAATTTAATTATAATTTAGTTAATTTACAAAATATGCGAAAAGAAAATCGTATGGATAGCATAATTGCCCGAAAAATGCAACAGTATGCAAAGTACTTTTATTTATACTACGTATTCGATTCAGGCAAATTTAAACGGTTTAAAAGTTATTAATAGTTATATTGTAAATTCGATCAATAGTAAAATTTTAATCGAATATGTAACAGAACTTAACTAAAGACGAAATGGACATGTACATAGAAGGATCTCGTTCATCTTTAATTTATTTAAAAATACATGTAATTCAAAAATTTGTTTATCTCTTATTTAATAAAAACAAAAGAAAAGTTATCTTTCTTAAGATAATAAATTCAAATTGATTTTATGTAACAAATATCTACTAATATTGCTATGGAAAAAAGTTATCGACTTTTTATCCGTCATAATTAATGTGTATCGTACATATGGTGTGTACAACAAAAAAAAAAAAAAAAAAAAAAAAAAGAAAAAAAACTAGCGACACGAGACAGAAGAATACAGATTAACGAATACGTTAGATTTTAATTCGTTAAAAGCATTTCTTTCTATCAAAACTATATCAAAAAATGTCCAATTCTTCTACCGGATCTTCTCTGAAATAAGATTCATTACGAATGTTATATTAGTATCGTTGATACATTCGATTTATTCTAAACTCTGTGGAAATATTAAAATTCCGATATACCGTAGCGAAAGTTAAAAGATATCGACTATTTGTAACCTTCCATCGATTTGTATCATATTTGTAATTAAGAAGATAATTTTCGTAAGTATTTGAACTATACTATGTTACCAACAGATATGCTCGAAATTGGAATTTATATTTTATTCTACCATACACGTAAAGCATTAAATCACTTATTCAATGCTTCTCTTCTTCACATACGTATTAAAAGACAGATGCTGATACGAAGAAAACAATGAGCGGACTATTATACATAATGTTTCCCAAACTATAAATGTATCGATTCAATTCACGACTGTTTATCGTCATTTATCGACTTATTTCTCAAGGTTTTCGTCCTACTTACAAGATGGTAATTACTTAAATAATATTCTACAACAGCCATGATACAAATATATAACATTTAAAAAATATTGGTTCCAATGAAATACAACTACATTCCGGATCATAGTGTTTCTTCTTACATCTAAGAAAAATCTGAATAATGTTTGCTACTTGACGAATGATGACAAAATGAGCATATAATTCGATGAAGGGAATGAATATCTATATGATGACAAGTAAAAAGTGAAATGTTTTCTTTGAAAATTGTAAAATTCATTCATACATGTAAAGTGTTGTGTAAGAAAAACATCTTCTCCTTCGTTGGACCATTCAATGTACGTAATATGTACAATTATTGTAAGTACATTTAATACTAGCCATTATTTTCATCTTTTGCTTCGTCTACCTTTACTTCCTCCTTCTTTTCAATATCATTCGTGTTTTCGTAATTTTCATCTTTGTCGGATTTCATGGGAACATCAGCCGGTTCGTTATTCTCTGATTCTAAGTTCTTCTCTGGATTTGGATCACGATTTTCTTCTCCTTCTTCCGTCGATTGTGGAACTTCAGCTGTTGTATTTAACGTTGCGGATCCATCAAAATTTTGTTGATGTTTTCCGAGACCTACTTGCAATTCTATAGCTTCCAGCTCATCGATCAATACCTTCTCTCTTCTTTCGATCTCCTCTGTAATATAAAACAAATGCATATTATAATTCCTTTTATTTAAAATTTATACTTAAGGCTCTTTATCGAAGTGCGTACCATGAAGTTCTTTCGCAGATTGCCCTAGTAGAATATCAGTTTGTGGGTGTTTACGCTTTGGTACGTAATAAATAGGAGGTTGGGCACGCGTTTTTATAAACGAAGCAAGTGGTAATTGCGCCGCGCGCCAATCTTGAAATTGTCGGCTGCGCGCCAATTTTGCCTCTAGTGCTCGGACTTCTGCTAGTTGCCGTTTACGCGATAAGAATAATTGTTGTCTTTCTCGTCGTAATTCTTCCTTTTCTCTCCTTCTGGCTTCTTCTACTCTTGCCTCTACTTCTGCTTTTTTATCTTCCTACAAAGGATTGTCATTTTCAGAAATATGAAAAAAAATTTTTTCTCATATCAAGTAGAGAAATATACCTTTGCTTTCAGTTTAGTTTCTTCTTGCCGAAATTTCTGTAATGTTCCTAAAAGGGCACCAAACATTCGTTTATTCCTTTGTCTGCTACGTTCATCTATTCTTTCCCGTCTAATAACTTCCTGTCTAGATGGAATCTCTCTCGGTGTTGCTATCACTCTCGAAGACACTGCTGGCTAAAATACCCATTCAATAATAATACATAAAACAATATATCGGTAAGAATGAGCAAATTGTTATAGAATTCTACCTTAATAACATTATCATCTTCATCAGCACTATCGTCATTATTAGAAGGAACACGTGCACTTAACCGACTGAAAACTGTTTTTGGTTCACCATTTGAACCTTGCCATCTCCTTTTTCCACCAGGTAGTTCATTGTTGACAAAATCAGAAACAACACGCCTTCTATCCTCTTGCAATGGTCTCTTTTGTGATAATCTATTGAAATTATAAATGCAGAAGAATATTTCAATAAATATACACATAGTCTTCCTTTCCTATTTTAATAAGATTACATAGTTAAGTGAAACGAATATTTATCATTACCAAGTTTGGTAATTATATATCGTGCACTTAAGCAAATAAAGCTCTCATTACAACATTACTACGATACGTAAGTAAATACAATGAGATCACGTATAATTTAATAAAGTGGAAACTATCGAAATGAAATAGGTTATGTTTGTAGACAACAGTGTTTCATTCAAAGATTATTGAACTATTGGGCAAGATGTATATTTTATGAAATAGCATTTTGCTATGATGGTTTAAGGGTATTTGGAAATAAATTATTCAGAATTTAACCTGGGTGGTGGTTGTAGCGGGCCGTTTTCTCCATCAGGGAGATCCCGGCCCAAAATCTTTCGAATACTTCGATCGAGTCCCCGAAGACCATCTCGAGCGGCTTCTAATTGCGCTTCTAAGCTTTCGGCACCCCAGGCCTCTTGTGTATCTAATTTTCTCATTTATTTATATCTCTGTACGTTCACTTAAATTGCGAAGTCAATTCACTTAACGATTGTTGTCGAACCGCATTACTGTCGTGGAGCCACCTACAATTTCGTTCCTTTTTCCAAATCGATAAGTCTCGGGACTTTTCCTTGCGCTCGTAGATCATACCTCTAGTAAATTTCTCATAATGCTAACTTAATATATTACAATTGGCTGAATTTATATAGAAAAAGTCTAATCTTTAGGATATTTAAAAATTTGTTGTAAATTTTTAGAGCAAAGAAAGGAATAAAAGAAATGATGAGATTGAATTTTGAAAGATGGCTTTCAACTAA